GGTCCGGGCGAGGGGCTGCGGCTCCTCTGCGAAGCCTGCCTGCCTGCCTGGGGGTCCGCCGAGTCCCTGGTGGGCTGCAGCCTGCCGCGATCCGGCGGGTTTGGCTTCCCAGCGAGCCGGGCTGCAAGGCTCATTGTTCGGCCCGGGACCGGCTCCCGAGCCAGCGTGCGTCGGACTGCTGGGCCGGAGCATGGTACCGCCAGCCCAGGCCAGCTGGTCGCTCGATAGATCATTCGGGCTTCCGGGTGTCACAGGGCGCCTAGGCCGGCCGGCCGGCGAACCTAATAGTCGTGGCCCCTTTGGATCTCTGGCTAAAGAGAGCCAGAGCCGCACCGTGGTTAAAAGGGTGGGCCTGAGACCTGGGAGACCCAGCTCTGCCTGGACACTTGCCAAGGGACTTGGGGCCAGTCTCTCTCTCTCTCTCACACACACACACGTGTACTCAGCCTGGCCCACCTCGCAGGGTTGTTGTAGGATAAATGGGAGAAGAGGAGGATGTAAGGCATTTGGGGTCTCCATTGGGGAGAAAAGGCAGGTATGAAAAAAATAAAGGTGGGAGGAGCCCCGTAAATTGCTTTTTTAAGAGCAACACAGAAGAGCAGATTGTACATTTCATAGCTCTTTGCAGTTCCACTCTGCTGGGGGGAGGACCCCCTTCCATTCCAGAACGGATTGCTTAAATACTACTTTGTGGAATTGTATGGGTTTTTGAAAGGCCATATCACGGACTGAGTTGCCTTACCCTAATTTTGTTACAAAATCTCATCCCACCACACCAAGGATGTTGTGTAATTCCTTTTTAATGGGAAAGAAAAAACTGTTGAAATGGCCAGTTGTTTCCTCAGATGCTTTCTGGGGGCAGGATGCAGACACCACGGTTGTTTTATTTGGTATGCTGGAAGGTGCTCTGAAATTCCCTTTTTCAAACAGTGTGTAAATGATACTAGTAAACAACAGAATGGCCAGAAAATAACCCAGAGAAAGTTCTGTGGTCGCCTGGTTTATGTCCTTAGTAGATCTGCTTCAGAAACCCTGAAGGCAGCATGTGGGGGACTGCATCTGTTTATACACATGGATGTAACATTTAAAACAAATTGGTGTGTGTTGCAACCGGCTCAGTTTCTGATTAGCTTAGCAAATGGTAACCTCAAGATATAGGCTGATTTTACACTGGACAGTGTTTATTTTCCTCCAAGCGGTACACCTAAGACATGTGAAAATGTGAGGTGTGAAGAAGCTGGGACGAGCCTGCGTTTGCCAAAATCAGCTGCGGCTCCTTTCCTAAGTGAGCTTCCAGTAGCAAATCCAGGTTTACGCTTATTTGTATTTATGATGATTTTATTTATTGATATCCCGCTTCTGTCCCCAGTTGGGACTCAAAAGTAGCTTTTTAAAAGAACACTGTACTCACTGCCTCCCTTTTCCCACAGCAACCCTGTGAGGTAGGCCAGGTTGAGAGTTTGTAACGGAGCCAAGGAAGCCGTGCGAGTTTCCGTGGTAGAGGTGGGGATTCAAACCCATGTCACCCAGGGCCCTCGTTCACCACTCTGTCCACTGTACCAAGTTGGTTTGCTTTTGCATAACATGTGGAAAGGACCTGTGGTATTGGTGCACTTCAGGGCCATTGATGGCCCTGTGAAAACATTTTTGCCTAAAGCAACTGCACCTGATTCTGGTCACTGTGTCACTCTGCTTCTGGGGATGATGGGTGGTTGTTTAAGACGCTGGGCTGTTGGTCGTGTGCTCTTCACTGAAACAGGAACATCAGTTCCATTAATTCAGCCACAAATGAAACTCGTAATACCTTTTACTTTCACAGTTCACTTTCTGCACCACACACTTAGCTTTAGTTTGGTGTAGTAGTTAAGTGCGTGGACTCTAATCTGGGAGAACCGGGTTTGATTCCCCACTTCTCCACTTGCACCAGCTGGATGACCTTGGGCAAGCCATAGTTCTGTCAGGGCTGTTCTTGAAAAAGAGCAGTTTCTGCCAGAGCTCTCAGCCCCTCCTACCTCCGGGTGTCTGTTGTGGGGAGGGGAAGGAGTTTGTAAGCCGCTCTGAGACACCTTTGGGTAGTGAAGGGCAGGGGGTATAAATCCAATCTCTTCTTCTTACTGGGGCATGTGACAGCCAATGAGAAGGTGGAGGAGGGGTCTGAGAATTGCTTGGGCCTTGTCACATTTGGTGCTGCTGCTCTTGTTATCCTTTGGGGGGAGGAAAGCAGCTAAAACGTTTTAAAAAGCAAGCATGGTTGGCACTCTGTTTTGGAGCAAGGAACTGAATCATGGAATATCTCTCCCGCTCTGTCACCCCTGACTGGCAGCAGCAAACTGGCTTTTCGAATTCGGGGCTCCTCAGGATCCTCTTTATGGGAATAAAAACCGTCTGATGATATTTGTATGCCATCGCGAGATCGATGCTCATTCTGAACATTCGTAATCATTGCGCATGTCGATGCACCCTGGCCAGGCTATTCAGATCTCGAAAGCTAAGCAGGGTCAGCGCCGGTTAGTATGGGAGACCACCGAGGAAGACTTAGGGGGCCGCTACATAGACGAAGCCAGTGGCAAACCACCGCTGCTCGTCTCTTGCCTTGAAAACTCTGTGGGGTCGTTGCAAGTTGATGCCATTTTCCACCCCCACCATCTTAATACAGGCTATTGTACATTTCCCCATTTGATTGGATCTGATCAAGCGCATCAGTGCTCCTGGTGCCTCTTCAGTTTTCACCAGCCAGGACTGTTCCTGCAATCTTGATTTTCCTTCATTTTCTTGTTTCTTTGGAAGCTTTTCAAGCATTTCTCAGTGAGAAGGTCAGTAAGAGGGGACATCTCCTTTGGAGACATCTGACCCCTTCATGGCCAGTCTTCCTCATCATGTGCAGGGACCAATGCTCCCTCTAAGCTGTGGAGTCTTGTGAGCAAAAATTCTGCTTTGCGAGCTATTGGCATTAAAGCTGTGAGCGAGCGATTTGGCCACTGAATAAATCAGTTTGCTCTGGAGCCCTCCTTCCTGAGCTAAGGCAAAAAAATATGTGTGAGCTGGAGGCTAAAGAACTGTGAGCTAGCTCACCCTAACTCAGCTTAGCTCAGCACTGGCAGGGACCATTGGGTGCATTCGGGGGTCACACTCTCAACAGTGTGGCCCCACCACGCTCCTTACAGGAAGTCGGATATTCCTCTGCCGTGCCCAAGGGTTAGTGTGGAGAGGGTCTGCTGAAGGAAACATGTTTGAAACCTGCTGCAGCAAGTGACGTGAGAGGTTGGGTCAAACGGTCTTCTTACACGGAGGAGTCCCTCCTTAGTAGCTTTGACCATGCCCAAGAATTAACCATGGTGCGTTATCACTTGTCCTTTTCCAGAATCGAGCCGTCGGCAGGCCAAAGGGTAAGCTGGGACCCGCTTCTGCCGTGAAGCTCGCAGCAAACCGGACGACTGCGGGGGCTCGCCGGAGGAGGACGCGATGTCGCAAGTGCGAGGCCTGCCTGCGCACCGAATGTGGCGAGTGTCACTTCTGCAAGGACATGAAGAAGTTTGGTGGGCCGGGCCGGATGAAGCAGTCGTGTATCATGAGGCAGTGCATCGCGGTAAGCCTGGTTTGTGGGGTGTGGCTCGCCTGTGGCTCGTCACGGTGGCCTGGTGCTGCAACCAGCCAGAGAGGCTTTACTAAAGTTGGCTCCCCCGCAGCGCTTTCTTAAGACCACAAGTCATAAATGTAGGCCGCAGGCTAGAGCAGATTTTTTAATAAGCGAGCAGCTTTTGGGGAATGTACACAGCTGAAGTAGACGCAGGTCTGCTTTCAGCTGCTCTGACACCATGTCACAGATGCCTCTTCATCAATGCTCCCTCTAAGTTGTGGAGTGTTGTGAGCAAAATTTCTACTTTGTGAGCTGCTGGCATTAAAGTTGTGAGCGAGCAATTTGGCTACTGCAAAAATTAGTTTGCTCTGGAGCCATCCTTCTTGAGCTAAGACAAAAACGTGTGAGCCGGAAGCTAAAGAACTGTGAGCTAGTTCACACTAACTCAGCTTAGAGGGAACACTGCTCTTCATTGGTCACGTGAATCTGGTGCAAGCCAAGACTCCCCGGACTCTGCAAAAGGAAACTTATTTTCCCTGGTCTGCTCATTTTCTGTTCAAATCTGCCAGGGTCCAGACCGGACTGACATTGTGCATCCATTTGAGTCCAATAGCACCTTAGAGGCCAACAAAATGTGGGTGTAAGCTGTGGTGGCTCAAGTGGTTAAGACGCTGAACTGCAGGCTGGAAGGTTGGTAGTTCAGCAGTTCGAGACCCAAGTGCCCCATGACGGAGTGAGCTCCCATCTCTGGTTCCAGCTCCTCCCAACCCAGCAGTTCGAAAGCAAGAAATTGCAAGTAGATAAATAGGTACCGCTTCGGTGGCAAAGGTAACAGCGTTCCGTGCACCTTAAGAACATAAGAGATGCCAATGTTGGATCAGGCCAAAGGCCCATCCAGTCCAACACTCCGTATCACACAGTGGCCAGAAATACCAGTGCCATCAGGAGGTCCACCAGTGGGGCCAGGACATTAGAAGCCCTCCCACTGTTGACCCCCC